ACCAAACAACAGCCACAAAATCCTTTATTCTCCTGCCAATGTTGACTACAAAGTTCTAACATTTCAGCAGAAGGTTGAAATTTTTGAAGACCTTCCTTCCTAAAACATTTCAACACTTGGCTGCATGGTAGAGAAGCGACTTTTAGTCTCAGTCTTTCTCCTTCCACGCTGGATTCAGGAACACTGCCTAGGAACAGAGCAGCACAGAGGAAGGAGGGAGCAGCCGGCTAACTACCGTGACAACCACAGAATGAGCCAATACTTCAGGATTTCCTTGAGCAGCTTTAATAAATGGCCCTCCATGGTCCCCTTTCAGACTTGTATTACAAGAGAAGAGAAACCCTAACCATTACTCAGTAAAGCCACAAAGGTAGGGATCTCTAACAGTGGCCTGATGAGATTACACCTGATAAAGCCTCGAATCAAACGTTGGATTTCCAGTTAAAAGTCAGCAACATCAAAGAGTTATTTAAGCAGAATTTCTTTTGTGACATGAGCTGACAGAGTACTCTGTTTCTAAGTAAATTTTAATCAATGATAAAACTAAGTATAAGCAGCACAGAAATTTCTAATACATACATTTGAAAAGAAAACAAACCACCTCAGCTAAAAACTTGCATGTCACTATTATAAATGACAGTAATTCCTGCTTTTGTGCTCTCCTTGACTTAGTAATTCATCAACAAAGCATGATTCCTCAAGTTCTGACTTCACTAATCAGAAGGTAAAACATCTACATTTTAAAATAAAAATGTGGGCCATTTTGCTACTTCATTCCAAAATATTATAAAACATTTTATTGTTCTTAAGATATTTCTGAATACATAAAAAATAATATTAATCAGACTAAGCAGGTTCCATATATATATGGGAAATTATATAAATATAATATAATAAATAAAAATATAATAAATATTAAAAAGTAGCCCATGAGTTTGAAGTGTGTGTGTATGGGCTAACTATATGGGATAGTTCAGAGGAAGAAGGGGAAAGGAGACTGTTGTAATTATATTATAACTGCAAAATTTAAAAAGTTTAAAAAAAAGATATTTATCCAAAAAGTTGAAAAGGAAAAATATGTAAAATACACTAATGCAGCCTAATCCTTCCCTCGTTTCCCCCTCACACAGGACTATGGCACAGCACTGGGTTTTATATAAGATGCTTATAAAAACTACACAGATTATAACTACATGCCAATTTTTACATATAAGAAACTCAATGGGTTATTCTGAGAAACTGCAATACTTTTATAAGCCTCAATTTTAGTTTCTCTGATATCAACACTACAAAATCTTCCATAGACAACTGAAGCTTTAGGTACCCTAGCATCAGTGCAGACCACACCGCGCTCCCACACTCAGTGCAGACCACACCGCACTCCCATTCTTCCCTTTTCACAGGGCCCAGCTCGACCAGATGCACTGTAGTTGTCCAAGTCACAAAGCACTCATGGGATCTGAGACTGCTTGCAACCATATATTTTAAGAGACTCATCCAGCCCTGAAATCAGATGCTGTCACTCAGGTACTAATTAGCTACCCAAGTTCTACAGACCAAGGGGCAAAAGAATACTCTACTTCCTAAATACATCTTTTGACTTCAAGTAGTTTCCTAAATAAATGCCCAAATATTTTTTGAACATGTGGGTATGCAATAGCTCAAGTACTGCTCTTTCAAATTATGGTCTGTCTTCTCTTCATGCTCCTTGCTTGATGAATGGGTCAATAAACACCAAGTCAAATATTCAAGTAAATATATTTTCATTGTTATTGGCAGACATATAATTAACTCTGAGAGAAAAGAAACAGAGAATCAATTTATGATTACTTCCCTAGCTCTTCTCATCACTCACTGACATTATCTTCTTAGTTTTACGTTTAAATCTGAATACACACGAACCATCTCGACTCTAATTATAAATCAAATTACCTCAATTACAAATTAGTGTTGTATGAACTGTGACCCCCATATGCTAGTTTTATTAGTAAGATGCAATTATATTATTACCCATGCATATGAGCTGGTTAAAAACCAATGCGCATTTATGAGCCTTATTAATTAGCAATTTCATGAGTGCAATTTCATTGTTTTCAAACAATATTAGAGATTTGCTATGTTTTCTCTAGCACAAACAATTAGATCAACATTTTCTTTATGTATGTGTAATATCAATACTACATTTCTATTTTCAGGTAGAATAGGCAGCTAACAAAAATATTATACAGAATAATAATTTGTCTTAACAAAGAAACACTACAAAGAAAAATACTTAATTTAAAATGAAACATTTCCTACCTGTCAGATCAGTACCTTCCCCAACCCCAGAAAAATGTACTTTATAAAACTTAAATTAAGTGACCTTTAAAATTTTGCCCTAGATGCAAAGCTTCAGATGTATTATTGTATGTCATAGGAAAAATGTTCAAGATGAGCTCAAGAATCTGTTTTAATAGAGTAATGCTTTCCTTAACCAATTGTTACCTTTATTACAGTAGCTATTTGGTTTTCTATTATATACCATGAACAAGTCATTTAAAAGATGTCTCAGCTTCTTTGCCTGTACATGGGGAATGATCACTCCTCCTCTGCGTTCCTGTTAGAACTAAAGGGTTTAACTCATCCTTCGAATAGCACTCAGCACATGGGCACTTAGCTGCCAAGAAGGGAGGAGCTCAGCTCCCCCTGCTCCCTACCCCCATGTGGAATGTGTGTGTGTGTGTGTGCGTGTGTGAGTGTGTGTGTGTGCATGTGTGTGTGGTGTGTGTGCATGTCTGTGTATGTGTGTGTATGTATGTGTGGTGTGTGTGCATGTGTGTGTGGTATCTGTATGGTGTGTGGTGTGTGTGTGTGGTATGTGTATATGTGCGGTGTGTGTGTGGTGTGTGTGCGTGTGTGTATGTGTGGTGTGTGTGTGTGTGTGGTATGTGTGCGATATGTGTGCATGTGTGTGTATATATGTGGTGTGTGTGTGTGTGTGTATATGTGTGTATGTGTGGTGTGTGTGCATGTGTGTGTGGTATGTGTATGGTGTGTGGTGTGTGTGTGGTATGTGTATATGTGCGGTGTGTGTGTGGTGTGTGTGCGTGTGTGTGTGTCTGTGTATGTGTGGTGTGTGTGTGTGTGGTATGTGTGTGATATATGTGCATGTGTGTGCATATACATGGTGTGTGTGTGGCTTGTGTGTGTGGCTTGTGTGTGTGTGTGTGTTGACTTTTCCTTTTCTTCTGTTGACTTCCATTTGCCAACCCAAATTTACACACATCTTAATTCTTCTTCAAGTAAAAGAGAACTACATGAGGACACTGTCCACCTGTGTGCACCCCACCAGGGTCCCCACAGTCGTGAGTCTACTTTCTCTTTCACTCTAGGAAAAACAAGAGTGAGGGTCCAATGCATACTCACCCCAAACTCTGTTTTAAAAGACAGCCAGTTTCTTTTAGCTGAAGGGGGCAGACAGGAAGGGTTGGTTACTCACAGTTAGGAGAGATGAATGCTGGAATCTGACTGCACAGCAAGGTGACTATAGGTAATGACAGGTCCTAAAAACTTCAAAGATTCGTAATATTTTCACCACAGAGTCAGGATAAATGTTGGCACAGACGTTCTAGCCTGGAGTCGAGCATTACAAAATGTGTAACAAATAACATGGAACCCATAGACACGCATAACTCTTATTTGTCAAATTATCAAGACCGTTCTTTCCTTGTTATCTGCTCTCGGTGGTGAACACGCTCATGTACATGTTTGCTAAGCAACAAACACAGAATAAATCTGAAGTAAAAAAAAAAAATTAAGTACATCCCTCTCAAAGACACAGGGGCTACAAACACGGGTGCATGCTGACACTTCACAGAGAGATTTTACAGCGCTGCCTGGGAAGGTTTTGTGATCTCCGAGCAGGGTGTGAGAAGGAGAGAGAGCATTCGCCAGGTGGTAAAAGTACAAGAATTATTTTATCCACAGAAAGCTAAAAACTCCTCACAAATATACGCTAAGTTAATAGAGTCATACTTTATAAATAAATGTATAACTTAGATTTCTTTTAAATAGAAATTTATATTTAATAAGTAATAAAATGAAAAATTTATTAACACACAAAAAAAATGAGTAATCAAGTAACTAGACAGCATCTACCCACTGATGGCTTAGCTTATCCTTAGATGTTGGAACATTATTATCCAATTAACACCTGATTCCTCCTACCAGACTGAGGACTCCAGCCCGCCCTCACCATCTTCACTGTCCATCCCCATTTTTGTGATCTGAGTACAAGGAGAACCTAACAGCACATTTACTGCCCCTCTCTGGACAGTTCTACCACGTTTCCTTCCCAGTTCTACTGAGCAGCCCTCTGCTGTTGCCCAGAGTCCTCTCTCAATGTGCCTGGGGAAGATCTGCTCCCTCTTTGCTACAGAAAGTCTCTCCTACTAAATCTCTTTTCTTCCTCAAAATTCTATCCATAGTTCAACCTCTTCCTTGAAGCCTTCAGGCTCCCTTGGTCCTGTTTTTTTTTTTTTTTTTTTTTTTTGAAGGCAGAACTTTAGAAAGAGAGAAATGAGAGCAGAGAAAAGATACTTTTGGCTGAGACAGGTTAAAAAACGTGGCTGTGAATCGAAAAGCAGAAATCCATCATTTGAAAGATACATACAGCCTGTTACATCCACGTTGCGTGCTTAAATTACTTAGTATTTAAAATTTATATGCTGCGCAGACGACTTATTGGACAATTATTCTTCCAATGACACTTCTCTCAAAACCATTAACCATCTCACAAAACGGACAAGTAATTCGTTAAGTCTGGACTCCTTGGGGCCACTTCCTGTTAAAAACTAAAGAGAGTGGATTCAGAGCCTTTCATACTAGACAACACTGAACTACAGTATACCGTTGCTGAGGTTCCTAGTTGAAGGGTAAGTAGTTAAGACAATAAATTGCTCCTCAAAGCCAAGCTCAGACACTTCCTCAAGGAACACTTAGCATGTTCTGTGCGTCAATACCTTGCGTCCCAACTTGATTTTCTCTTCATTCAGATCCTCTGTTGCTTTCTTGATTTCCCCACGACATCTGGCAATCTCCGACCTCACTGTAATACAAAAAGTCTTTACTCGCATTCACCTTTCTGAAGCCTCCATCACAGCAGCAGTTGGCACGTGAGTTTTCATCCGTCTTTCCCTCCAGGTTGCAAACTCCACTTATAGTCTTCCCTTCCCCTCCAGTCTGTGGTGCAAACACCCAGCTCCAAAAGCCAAATGCCCCCCTAGGGCAGCCCACCTTCCCGCATCACTCTGCGGCTCTCCTCGGCCCGATGCTCAGTGAAGATGATGTGCTGAAACAACGATTCCAGACTCATCTCGGCCGGCTCACCCTTAATATTTTATAAAGGAGTCTGAGGATCCTGGAAAGCACAATGAGGAGGGTTGTCCCGCTGTTCCCTGCTGGGCTGCCCGCATCACCCACCCCTGCCCAGCAGAGCCCCGAAGTGGGAGCTCGGCCTGTTCCTCCATGCTCGCCCACAGCCCGGCCTGCTTCTGTACTGGGTGCAGCTCCCACAGGAAAGCCTTGGGGAACAGACACAGCAGCCTTGGCTGGGGCCGTGCTTCCCCTCCCCAGCTCCCTCGCTCCCCAAGGAAAAGATGCCCACAGTCAGGGGCTGGCGACGTCCCCTCAGGTGTGTACAGCGCAGGTGACCTCTGCTGGCCTCGCGAGAAGTCAGCTACGGAAGCCTGGTGGGGCCAGTCTGCAGCGGCCTGCGCTCACGGGTCTGGGGTCTTTCTAGAGGTGGGACGTCTGGCCTCCAAGACACAGACAGCAGTATTATAAAGTGCGAAGTACCCGTGATTCTAAATATAAACTTTTGCAAAGTCTTATCCTCAGAGGCTCCAAAGACTCCTACAAACTTACAATGTCTGACATTCCGCTGTAATCATTCCTTCGTAATCAGGGCATATCTTTTTTGTCTGTCCCGAAATTAATCATTGCCTTTTGTAATCAAGCCTCGGTAATATTAACACTTCGATATCTGCACAATGTGTGTCAGAGACCAAAGTGGTTGCTAATTAAGGCTTAAATGTGAAAGGCACCTTTGGGGCTTTTGCATGAGTTTTTTTTTTTTTTAATTAAAAAATATTTTCAGTTTTGATAGGTCAAAATATTGACATTGTAATAAACATTTGACTTTATTCTGAATGTAAAACTGACACCGGCTAGACTTTTTAAAAGTAAGTTTTAGTTTGAATGTGTTTAAAATTAAGTAAAATAAGGTAAATGAAAAATGTTGTCACAATAGGCTTAATTAATAGCCTATTAATGCTATAATATAATCAGCTATAAAAATGTAACCTATTCTGAATTTCTACCTTAATTTTAATCTGGTAATGTCTGCATAAAATTTAACGTTTGAACTATCAGAATACACACTGAAATTTGAAATGAAGTTAAAAAGAGTTACTCAGAGCTATTCAGAAGCAAGTATTGATGAGAAATTTCCCACTGTCTTTTGGGTAGCCCTTCTGTCTTTTGGGTAGCCCTCTTGACAAGTATTTTTTTTATTTACAATCTAGAAGTCCCGTGAATAAGGAATAATAACACGATTTTATTACTTGTGTTTTGGTATAATAATTATTATGTAGTTCAATATTCGTTATTTATTTGCTACACACTCTCTGAGCACTCTACATCTATTTGAGATGATATTTTTGCCATTTCTTTTCTGACATGGTTAAGGAGACAGGCTCAAAATATTCCAATAAAAATTAGTTCACTGGAATATTTAGTTTAGTCAGTGTCTGAAATCTTGGAGTGTAATAATTCTTTTAATCAAGTCAACTATTCTACTAGAACTGTGATTTTGTTAACTTGAAGAGCTAAGTAACTTGTCCATAGTCATGTATGATGGCTAGGATATAGCCAAATCAGGATTCAAATCCTGTGTCTCGTGAAGAAGCATACTTTGTACAGGAAAGTAAACCGAGACCGAGAAATACGAGGGTTGAGAGCCGTGAATTCCAATTTGGAATTATTTTCTTAACATACCATAAGTGTAGGGAATCTATCATTTCATTTAAAGCTCTTCCATGAGTATACTTTATAACTAACTCATAATCCTCTGACACACGTGTGCGTGTGTCTAGTTTAGACACTCTGAAAGAAACCAAACTCTTCTACGTATTCAAGGATGGAAAATGACACTTAATGGCTCGAACCGTTTTCTTTGAGCGCTCATGTGGAGGTTTCTGAACTGTATCACAAATACCACCAAAGGTAGGGGCTTTTTGAGATAAACTACAAAGACTAATAACATCGCCTCCTTCGGAGTGATTTCCTGTGGGCTTGCATGGGGGCCATCCATTCTCACAGAAAGGCTGATTTCCAAAAAATGTGATATTTTTTCAACACTACAGTTTTATTGGTTGCACTTGAACTCCCTTTGTTATTTAACACACCACTGTCTGTACTGAAACTTAGCAGGAGTGGATTCTGGAAAGCTGTGGGAAGCCCACCTGCCTTTCTTGCATGCACGGGAGCACAGAAGAAAGTCACCTGAAATTCGAAAGGAGAGTAATGTGGAGAATTGTCATTGTCAAGCTCTGTAGTCAACTTTGTCCCATCCCACAACATTCTAGTGCCTTTAAATCCTAGTAGAGTCTTCTCAGAGGCATTGCAACTGCAGACATTAGCTGTGCTTTAAATTTTAATTTTGTTTATTGAAGCACACGTAATTATGTAAGCCCACAATTCAAATTCTACAGTTTTCATAATAATGAATTAAAGTAACATCGTATTAAGATATTAAAATCCAACTTTATTCGCACATGATGACTAGTGTTAAGACTTTTCCCCTCTTATAGCAATGTATGCTGATTACACCTCATAAGGTACAGAGCAAGAGCGGTATTATTTAAATTTATGCCAAATAAAAATGGTATATGACATGATAAAGCTTTGTGGGCATACTATTTTCTGAAAATGTATCTTCTGAATCTGAAAATGGGAAATGATTCATCAGGCAACTGTTTAATGAGTTTCTGCTTTTCATTCAACATTCATTCAACAAATATTACTGAACAGTTCCTATGCACCATGTTAGAGAAACAACCACGAAATTTAATAAAAACAGAGCTACATAAAAAAAAAATGGGTTTTCTTCCCCTAGATAATTCTAACCTCAATGGAGAATTATTATATTTTACAGCATTTTGGCAGCAGGATAAACAATTGCTTTCAGATGCTTCAACAGATGTTCTTTAGAAAGAAAGTCAGTTATTTGCATTATGACACCCACACATGATTCTCAGACCTAAACTTCCATCTGTGCACATTTCAGTGAATTGACTACCTTTGGAACATGAGTGAGATCACGCATTGTCCCTGCCCTCAGATACTTCTCGAGATCGCTTAGCACCTGGGCTGTGCAGACATCAATAATTGTTTTGCTAGAAGGCCTCACACAAGGCTCTATTGCTCTTTGATTTAAATGCATCTCTTCTCCTTTCTTAGATTGATGACTTTCCTAAGTTCTAACCCAGGCTTGCAAATACCCAGTAGCCCAGGGCATGTATATCACAATGAAAGGAGGAAAAGTAATTCATTTATTTTATGTTTTTCTAAGGGCATCTACCATAAAGAAAAAAAATTATGGGTTTAACTAAGTTTAACAACCATTTGTTGAGTATCTACTAAGTTTAGAGTTTTCCCCTGGGTACTAAGAAGGCTATGAAGTTGGAAAGACACCAGCCCTGTCCTCCCAGAGGTCACAGTAGTCAAATGGGGTAGAGGTTACACAAATAACTTCAGAATAAGTTCTATGGGATGTTTTCACACCTATGCTTTCAAAATATGGTAGAGGAGAGAGGATATGTCTGATATAGACAATCTAGGAAGACTTGCCCATAGAGGTAAATGGAAGTTAGACTTTTAGTAGAAAAAAAAAAAGGAGAAATGCAGAAAGCCATATGGGACCAGTACTAAGTGTTTTGTATTTTCATGTATTGATACGGCTTCATCCATTGCTTCCAGCCTGTGAGTGGGATGTCCACATTGGTGTGCAGAATAAGTTGACTCCACTGGGTTAGAAGCAGTAAAAGAATGAAACTACCTTGGGCTCGGGAGATGGCTCAGAAGTTAAGAGCACTGTCTGCTCTTCCAGAGGTCCTGAGTTCAATTCCCAGCAACCACATGGGAGCTCACAACCATCTGTAATGGGATCTGGTGCCCCCTCCTGGCCTGCAGGTATATGTGCAGGCAGAACATTGTATACATAAAAAATAAATAAATCTTTAAAAAAAAAAAAAAAAAAAAAGAATGAAACTACCTGTTTGGATGTTGGATATTGAGTAGCATGCTGTCTTAGTCCACTTGAGCCACTTTCGCAACATAACACACACTGGGTAGCTTATAAACATTGGAAATTTATTTCTCAGTATTATGAAGCAGTGAGATTCAATGTTAGTGTGTGTATTCAGTGTGGGCTGTTTTCCTAATTCATAGACACCTAGTATTGTCACTCTCAGAAAGTAGGAAAAGCTAGTTAGAGCCACACGGCATTTTTCATAGGAACACAAATCTTCAATCACGTGAGCCCAGCCCTCTTTGTTTAATTGGCTCATCAAACACCACATGTAGTAGTATCAACTTATGAGTTAGAGTCAGACAAGTGGAGAGACAGACACAGTCACACCAGAACACTCATTGTGTGCTGACCCTGTGGGAGTCACCAATGAATGAACCTTCATAATCAACTCAGTCATTCAATGAGAACAGCACGTTGATGTGTGCAACACTGGGCAGAGAGAACTGGGTAGCTTGTCCATAGTACAGGAACAGAATCAGTATGTGTGTCTCCATCATCTGTGAGCTTTCTCAGTCTCTGAAAACTCCAGATGGGAGGTAAGATGTTTTCAGCATCTGTTCCATTTAAAGGTAGGCACCTCCAAAAAAGATTGCTTATTATCAATTCATATCTATAAAGACAATTGCAGGTATATATGCCATATGAATTTAAATAAAATGTGACTGAAAGAAATGCAATTGTAAGTCGAAGTTGGTGGTACATGCCTTTAATCCCAGCACTCAGGAGGAAGAGTCAGGCAGATCTCTCCAAGTCTGAGGTCAGCCGTGGTTACAGAGTTAGACTCTGTCTCAGAAAAAAAAATAAAAGTGTTAATGGGTCATGCCTTTAGAAACATACTTAACCAGCCGTGTGTTGTTGTAACTATTTGATCTCTAATGGCGGTTTCTACCCTGCATTTGATCATTCAACTTCCAGATAAAAGACACACAATCTTGATATCTATAATGAGTCTTCAAAGCACCAGAGCTGGGCAGATAGCTACCCTCTGTGCCATTATATCT